AGATTAGACGTTCGACTCCTGTTTGTTGTAAAGTCCCTTTGCCACTGAAACGGTTTCTAAGACGTTTGTAATGAGTCCAACTCAAAGGTGAGCTCAAAGAGAATAAGCGCTCATTAATTATATTAGTATGTATGTGATGCTTGTCGGCAATTTAGAATTCATCACTATTAACCTTAACGGCTTTTCGTCCGCATTGGGAATGATAATCTGTTTCTTATAACAGAATTGACATCATCTGAAATATTTTTTTAAATGGCAGGCGTTTTGATGGTTATCATTAACCCTTAAGTTGACTTCAGGCTTCACAGAGGGGGAAGGACAGAAGTGTTTTAAAGACAAGGGTAGAAAAAAGGTGAGATGAGTACTGTGGGGTGTTGGTAGTTTGAATTCAGCAGTCAACTCCCGGTTAATAGACTTTTTCCCGTATGAGTATACGTCGCCCAGGGTGCACCACGTGGAGGTAAGTCTATTGCACACCCCCAATCTGTAATATCTATCAAGTCTATCTATGTGTGTGGTGTTTTGGGGCTTTGGTTGGGGATTTAACAACCTAAATGCAAAATTCAATTCGCCCTTATGTTTTGACCAGGACTAAAATTCCGTGTTAAGGATTTTCTTGCTTTCGAGTCGTTTGGTTATCGAAGTATCATTCGTTGTAGTATTCGGCGGACTCGAAATCTTTTATCTCGTCTTAAATTTAGGACACAGAGTACGCTCGAGATGATCCCCTTTCTGGAACATAGTTTTCCATAAAAAATATTTGAAATGGTTATGCAAACCAGACCCTTGAAAACGTAGTCTTACTTCATATCCACCGAAAGTGTATGATTGATTTTTATCTTTGGGAGTTTAGGGACTCTGAGGTGGAGATTTAGTCATCCAATAGTTTTTGGTTTGCTGTGGTCATTCTAGATAGCATTTAACTGGGTTAATCTTATTCCTATTCCCTTATCTTGCTTGTTTATCTCTTAGACCGAATTTCGGGCAATTCCATTCAGTTCTCCTTTCAGAGTGACATGTTTATTGATTCTACTACTCGGTTTTGCTCCCAACCCATAAAGTGTGAATTTTTCTTCAATAATTGTTCCTGTTTGTTTATTTTCTTTCCAGATAATTGCTGATTTTTGCTTTGCCAAAAGACGACGAAGAAGGAAACTTATTTATTGCTCGTGCGAGCTCTTTCCCTTTCTCTCCCCCCCCCCCCCCCTCCCTCCCCGCCCCACCCCACAAATTCATAACATTTGGCATTTCCCATCCCTGATTATTTGCTCCCCTACTATACGCTAGTTGGGAGCTAAGCAACTGGGGTCTTTCTTCCGCTTTCCCTTTTGTGATTTTTGCTTGTTTACTTCCGCAGTGAGTAATTAATCGGATTTATGACCCTGCAATTGTTAGGACGTGAGCTGTTTATCGTTCCTCGAGACTTTCAAACTTCGCTATGCGAAATATCTTGCTCAATAGTAAACTTTTATCACCTACCAAATGTAGAACTGGGCTTACCTTGAGTTTCTTACTTTAAATTTAGTAGCCAACGCCTTGACAGGAGTACTTCAAATGTAGGTGAATCGCAATTTGAAATCGCAGTCAGTTATTATTTAAAGAATGAGTGGAAATTTTGTTAGTTCTTGCTCTTTTCAGTTGTTTTTCCAATAATTTCGTATTCTGGTTTTGTCGTTGACTTTCATCAAAAAAGCTACTTACCAATCCAACATTTTGGCACAATACCGGCATTTATCATGTGGTAAATTACATTTCCGAACAACGACTTTCAATAAATCGATGTTTTTGCGTTTGGTTAAATAAATACTAATCATCAGTGCCTATTTTCAAATTCAATGTTTTTTGAACCCCCACCCCCACCCGCTTCGGTTAATATGTGCTGTTATTGTTAAAAGACTTACTTGTGTGCAATTACTTTACTCTAATCATTTTAGTTCAAAAGGGTGCTTCGTTTCTTAAGAAACAATAGCAGTATCAAAGAAACGGGCCCTTTTTGGCAGAAATAGTTATTTCAACGAGCGCGTTCTGTTTCTTCTCCTTTCTTCGTCTACGTTTTGCGAACTGCGTTATGAATCATCTACGCGCGTATGTGTAAGCTTTAGGTTGAATTCAGCATGAAAAGGCATTGTAAGTGGTCGCATTCTTTAAATTCTACCACTTCCTCAAACCAGACGTTTACAATTTAAAATTAGTGCACGTCTGTTAAAAGCCGGAGTCCGTAAGGTTTGTGTTCATCAGTGTACACCTATTGGTGTAGCCGATGCGAGTTTCTCGTAATGGCGGCCTTGTATTTTATACAATGTGTGATTTAGAGCAAAACGTAAAGAAAGGTTATGCTTTTTTCTCGCATGGTTCACGTTTCTCATTTATTAACTTCTTTTTAAGCGATCATTCTGTTTTGATCCCCCCCCCCCCACTTCTTAAATAAATTATCATTCATTTGCAGGCTTTAAGACTGACTATTTCATGTGATTGGTCGTTATAGTCTCGATTCGAAATATTGAAATTTAAGTCTTAAAGAGTTGAGTTATCTTAGGAGTCGGATTTCCCTTTACTTCTATCTCTGTTGTTAGCAGACGACACAACTGGTATCGTGCGTTTAAAAGATTAAGTATTGACGTCTCTCCTCGTCTTAATGACTGCCCCACATAGCGTTTAGTTGGTATAAGTCCGACTATCCGATTACTCATACAAGGAACCCTACCTCATGCCCATACTGTGGCTTTGTTCGCTGATATCCACACACGCACACACACACCCCGTCTTTGCCTTTGATGTCTGCTACGCCATTGTTTTGTCGGGAGTGTAAAACCAAATTCCGTCGGCAACTTAGTGACTCCGCTTTGATACAATTCATTATTGTTAATATCATGGGCTGCACGATTTTATTGGTTCCCTTCTATGTGAATTTAGTCTATCTGTTTGCAATCTTAATTTGTTGTGCATAAAGTTTGAGATGTAATTTTAAAATCTAATTTTTGTTGTGGTAGTCAAACTAAATGGCATTAAAAGTGCGTTTCTTGGTATTTTGTTAAAGACTAATGACAATTGTAGGGAAGAAATTCGAGTTCCCACGGTACTAAATTTGCAGTGAGTTCATCTCTTCGAATTGCTCTTCTCGTGTGAATTGAGCAAAAAGACTTGGTATGATTACAAAGCAAGGCCTGAATTTGTGTCCTCGTTTATAATATTTTTATAACCTTAAATAGGCAACTTTGTGGGGTCGTTCATTAGAATTCTTCACCATTCATTTATTTATTTATATCAAATGGCAGGCATTTTGATAGTTATCCCAGGCTTCACAGAGGAGAAGGAACATCAAAGTGACAAAAAGTCGAGAGGGTGGAGGGATTAATGATTTGCAGATGTTAGAGACAGACACAAAACAGAATAATGATTCACAGATGTAAAGGAGACAGACAAAGCAGACGAGTGATTTACAGATGTAAAAGAGAGAGAGACAGACACAAAGGCATAAAAAGGTAAGATGAGTGCTGTGAAAGGGGTCGAATATGACCAATAGTCGGGCCATAGTAGTTTGAAGTCAGAAGTCAATTGCCGATCAATAGACTTTTTGCCGTATAGGTATACGTTGCCCAGGATGCACCACGTGGAGGTAAGTCTATTGCGCACCCCCCATCCATTCATATACGTGTCCATTTAAGCCAAAGTTTGCATCGAGAGTATATAGCTGCCAGTATAGCATTTTAATGGGATTCCATTTGTTAAACCAAGAGTTCTACTCTCTGCCCCAGTGACAGTTTTGATCTATTTGTCCTTAAAAGGTACATTCTTTGAGATTTAGTGATCTTTTGGTTGGAGTTCACCAAGACAAGTCAGTGAAACTTGTGGTATTTGTGTGTGTGGGGTGTGTTTGCATTCTTTCGCATTTACTTCATTTCACCTTTCGAGTTAGCCTGACTGGATTACGCTTAAATAATGTGTGTTGCTGGCAGCCCCATCTTTGTTGTCAAAAGAATCTTTTGTTGGTAATAGTGAACAAGATTTGTGCGCTTAGTGTTTAGTGTGGTTGGAGAAAAAAAAGCCTCAAAGCGGATTTGCATAAATAAGCAGTAAAGTAAGACGCTATTAGAAAATCCGAAACTCATTGCTTTAATCCTAAAGTTGAGTGCAATTTTACAAGTGTGAGCTAAGCCACGCAATGGTGCGTTCCTTTTAGTTGAATTAACTAAGTCATAGATATCCGGTCTGCCTCGCCTTCCTACCCCCTCCCCCTCCTCCTCCTCCTCCTGAATGACTAATACGACATAATTAGATTAATCGACCATCGGCCTGCCGACATGTATGCATGCATACCTACTTGGCAGGATAATGTCAAGATATCATCATCGCCGCAAATTGGACTTTCTATTACGAAAGTCTTGCCTTGAAGGAGGTGGAAAAGATTACACCCATTTTGTCTTTTCGTGCATATCCCACTCTGTCTTGCTAACCCAACAGAGGGAAGTTGTGTTAATCCCACTTGTCTATTTTCTATATCTCGGATTCGTGTCTTCTTTTTTTAACGAAAAGTTGGTGTCACCTCTACCTTTTTTTTCATTTCATGGAGTCGAAGTGGTATTACACCTCTGCAATGTCTTCATTATTCTTATTTCGTAATGTTTTGACTACGAGGGAACGATCAGTAATACCTGATAAATTATTGAATGGGGGGGGGACTTTTCCAATGCTCATCAGAGCTTATATCTAACAAATAATCTCGCCATATTGTATATTTTTTTTAAGAAAATAAAAGTTTAAGACAGTAATCTCATGGGTAAACGGGTACTTCGTCATTTGAATTTGACAACAATCTTACTACCTTCCACCGCCTCCATGTTTGAGCTGGAGATTTTGAATCATTCAGTTGATCTCCAAAGCCAATGACTTACTAGATGTATTCTCGATTTCATTTCTCTAAAATCTTAAAATTGATGACTGTAGTTCGCGATTTCAGTTGGTTAGAAGTTATTCCTTTATTTATTTGTTTTTTTTATAGAATGCCTACCGGTGGTCGAATAATTAATCAACTACCCTCAACAATCAGCCAAGATCTCCTATCAGCCTCAACAGGAGGTGTAACAAACGGTGAAGACAATCAGAATTCTACCTCATCAACCACCAACGGAGGTGGCGGTGGTGTGAACGGAGCTTCTGATACCCTTGGAAAATCCCCCTCAGTTGTTGCTATGGTAACTGCCAACTCACCCTCCGCATTGGGGACTTCTCCCATGATGAACTTCTACGATGCCGCAGCGGGGAATAGTATTGGTGGTATGAACACCTACATGACTCACCACGGCCAGCAGAACATTCAGCCCCCTCCGAGAAATGGGGCTAAATTGAGTACTGTGAATGGGATTGCTCCAACACATTCTCTGGGAAGAAATTTCTGGAGATGCTCGTGGCAGTACTGGGTCATTCTTATCTGTGTACTGGCTTTCCTATTAGCGGTTAGCTTCGCTGTCTTCTTCTCAGGTGTGCTTTAATTCCATTTTCATCATCTTAGGTTTCTATATTTGCATCACGATTAAACAGGGGATCTTTTATTCGTAGTGGAATCACAAATTCGCAATTCAGTTATAGGCATCGTTTCGATGAAAAAGAACGGCTATTTGCATGATAGCGTTTTTATTGTGCCATTTGATTTCAAACGTGTTAATTGTGGGCTAGGAATATGTATTTATCTTCCCTTTTTATATCTAGCAATCAGAAGTGTTGAAAATGAGCTTCGCATTCGTACTATTGGTCATCTGCACTCTCTTCTATAGGTTTTGCAATATACTTGGAACCACGGTATGCCCTGAAACTGTTTTGTGTAACGTGTTGGTACTTGCGCACACAAATTGAGAAGACCCCTTTAGGAACACGCTTTACTCGATAAAATCATGTTATGCTAGATCGATTGAAAGGAAATTGACGATTCGATAGAAAGGAAGTACTCATATTCATGTTGCGTTGCCTCAGGGAGTTTGTTATGCGGAAAGATGATTTGGTCCTAATCTTAGTCTATTTATCTGTCTATTTGCTCGCCTCATTTGTTTATATTAGTGGTTATTAGCCCTAGCAATAGTTATTAGAAGGCACGAAAAATACCTGAATTTTGTCTAATCGGTTGTCAATGCTACCAACTTTAGATGACCTCAGTGAAGTCCTTATTTCGTCAAATGATGGAGTGCCCTTTGACTTTGAATGCCATATTTGTGACTCAGAGAAATTGGTGTGCGGTTATATGCTTTTATCCTCATTCCTGTGTCCATCTCTTTGAATTGGGCTATTATCAGTATAAATAAGTCATATCGGGTCTCTTAAGTCCTGTTGCCATATATCTTGAAGGGAGAGGATATCTTCCCCATTGGAAAGCGTTGTCCATAGACTAGTAATTGGATTCCATACCTTAAGAAGATGAGCTGATTAGAAGAAAGTAAGTGTCTCGTATTATAACTATATCGTGCACATCAAAGGTAACGGATTCGACTCCCATTGTTGCACGCACAGCGACAGGAATGGGTGAATGAATTTGTGAAGCGAGGCTGAGAGAAGGGACTGTTTCGTTTCTCTCATTTGAACAAATCCTTTGTGCTGTCCTTCTAACCAACATGATTTTTATTTAAAAGTATATATCAAACTACACTTCTTAGTAATGATAAATAAATAGATCTCAGAAGACGAGGTCATTCATCAGAATTGCTTCTTAATACCTCTTACTTTTCTCCATGAGTATTAGCGTAAATATTTCCAGAGAACTGGATTATAAGAATCCTAATCCTCGAAAAAAAACAACCAGAATTATTATTTTATAAGAGAAAAGTATAAACTCTTTTTACCAAATCCTAGTTTATGAATACCAGGACAACTATTCTACTACCCCTCTTAAAGCTTGGGAGAATAGAATCTCACAAATGCCTTTTCTAGTTTCGTGTTAGTCACCTACTTCTGAATAGTTAATATCACTCGTGACATAAAAACCACATTTACCATAAGGCATTTCCTCTAAATGCCAATCGATTAAACCTGATAATGGCAGAAAATAATATAAGGGGGGCGGGGGTTGGGTGCATCGGTTGTGCGGGCCTATGATTCGTGAAAATGTTTGCAATCCCCACTTAGCTACCGATAATTTATTTGTTTATTACCCATCAGGCAATAAGTTAAAGTGTGTGTGTGTGTGTGTGTGCCGTTAAAGGTTACCTTCTCCTGCAATAAAAAAATTAAAACTTAATTCATAAATTGATTGAATAAGAATGCGATTTGTTTAAATGTACACAATAGATGGAATACTTCACGCCTTATTTACTGTTGGTCGTTACCATTTTTGAAGAATTTGAAATGTGTGACCCTTTGGTCCTTCAAATTAACTGGAACTCGGTGAATCTGTTCTGTTTGAGTTGTTCTTCGCACTCGAAATTCTTTTTTTACACAAATCAGCATATGAAAGGTTGAAGTATTTTTGATCTGTGCATCATCTGACCTCACTTCTTCTTTACATAGCATTAAAAGTCATGAGAAAATTTAAATAAAATCGCAAAATTTGTCCTTATGGTGGTTTTATCTAACAGTTGATTAAAACTATTCTTTAAAGGCGGTTTCAGCCATATGTTTCCGGTCTGTTGAAAAATCTATTGATTTTGACTCTTTTTTTATTGCTTGAAGAAAACTTGTTTGCCTTTTCCGGTCTGTCATATTTAAACAAAAAAAGTAATTCCTATGGATTTACCAACTCTTTTTGTTCTAAAAAATCCTTTATTCACTTACATAATAATCTAATTTTCTTTCCATTATTACATTTTGATCTTTTTGATTACCTAATAAATGTGAATATTTATCTTTCCTGTTTTAGAAAATGCCAAATGGCTGGAAAATCGACTGCACAAGAAGTATGCCCAAGATCCGACGATATTTGGTAAGTTCGTTTTTTTCAACTTATAAAAATTAATTTAATTAGCTTTTTTTTCGGTGGCAGACAGAAATAGATTACGCATCTAAAAGTCTGCAAATATGTGTCTGGGATTGGTGATTATTTATTTATCGCGATCAGTGCGCCTCTATTCGGGCGTAAAGTGTTTTATATTCTAAAATAGTTATATATATATTCGTCGAATTTTCTCTCAAAATAGACGTGTACTGGCTATTTTGTGGCTTTGCGGTGTCTTTATTTCCGGTATGTCTACCTATCTTATTTCAGCTCCAGTTCCGAAACAGACCACTTTTAAAGCGGATTTAATTTATTTCGAATTTATAATTTGGTGGTAGGGTAGAGCTCAAATTGCAGACGCTAGGAGATACGGTAAATCGATAGGCCCTCTTAAGAGACAGTGTGCATGTCAAATAGAGTGGTAATGTGCTAAAATTGACAAGGAGCAAATTCATTTCGGATTAATTGCCTATGCAATGTGTGCTCGTAAAGATCTGAGAAATAATAACTGTGATGCGAGCATATACAGGCCGTTATCAGATATCCGAAACCGGACCCTCGAGTCATTCATATTGGCGTGATTGAAAACGCTTTGAAAAGGACCAATTGTCAAAATCGAGATTCGCTTATCCTGTACTTTTTCTCTTAACATCTGTTTGTTATGAATATTTAATGGCTTTCACCTTTCCTATGGGTTTAGGTTTGAATTTTCACATCCTTTTTTGTTTTGTCGAGAAATCTAATTTTTCTGCCACGCACTTCAACTCCAGCTGTCATGGTGCTCTTTAGCATTCATCATTCGAAGAGCGATATTTTAAATGCTGGACTTAACTCCTAGGGACCTGGAATATTGTAAAACTCTGTTCCCTTGTTTCGTACAATGTATCCTGGGGTGTGAGGGGGGGGGGTAGTTGTATCGATCCGACCAAGTACTTCATAAATTGTCCATAGTCATTCTTGTATTCGAACAACTGACCTCCAAACTTCATTGTGTGTGCTGATGGCTTAGCGGGTTCTTGAACGTGTTTATAAGGAGTTGTCTTTTAATCCCAATCTTATAACTTGTATTCTTTTTTCTTAACCACGTTTAAGTAAATTTCACTTCAAATTCATTCTTGTCCAAGTGTGTTGTGCCACTGCATTCTAGGCTTTGTTTACGAATTTCATGAAACGTGTTATTGGTGCGAACTATTGTGAGACTGCCTAGACAACTACTGTCCAATTTTAGGTCTTGTCTGCTTTGTATCTCGCACCAATTGAATCACCTAAATGGGCGTGTTTTCATCGACCCTTC